TTTTTGGACAGTTCCAAAGTTTCCGTCACCCTGGGCTCATTTTACTGTGCTGCTGGTAGGTTCCTGACTCCCCCTACTCATATGCTAAAGGATCTAGCTACTTGGCCTTGCTTCCAGTGAGACAAGGGATAACCACACTAAGGCTGTGGCTACAGCACTTGAACTCACAAATAATTCAAACTCACACAAGCAAACACATTAAAAACAATAACTATAAACTTTATGTAAGGACGTGACCAAATAGAAATAGACAATCAGTGAAAATATTAAATGATTAAAATGATTAGAGATCAATGATGCTTTGTAATGACTATAGGCTCTGCCAAGAGGCATGGTAGGTCACGTGACCACACATTCTCTCAATGTTCCTAAACAAAAGTGTCTCTTCCCACACCCAGTTCTGTCTCTCCCCCACATCTCAGGTGGTGCATGTGGACACATGTTGCAGGCCGGTAAGGAGATGCTGTTAGAAACACACCTTATTATACTGGGAATTAGCAGTGCAGGTCTTCATGATCCAGGCAGATGAAAATCCTTCCGCAGATGCAATGTGCCTTCATGGTGCAAAATTACAACCTAACTGCCCATATAACTCTAAGGGCTTGGCTACACTTGCGAATTAGAGCGCATGAAAGCAGCCACGGGTGCCCTCGCTCACTACCTGTCCATACTGGCAAGGCACGTAGAGCGCTCTGACTCCACAGCTAGAGCGCTCCTGGTACTCCACCTCGGTGAGTGGAATAACGTTTGATGCGCCCCCGCTGGAGCGCTGTGGCGCCAGTGTGAACGGGATGTTGCATTACTGCGCTCTGATCAGCCTCCGGAAACATCCCATAATCCCCTTAAGTCAAGTGGCCACTCTTCTCATTGTTTTGGAATCACTACAGGGATGGTGTCTGTTGCTGTCTGAATTTACAAGACAGCATACCCCCAAAACCCACTCTCTCTCCCCCCACATACATACAACACTCTCCCTGTCACACTCCACCCTGCCCCCATTTGAAAAGCACGTTGCAGTCACTTGAATGCTGGGATAGCTGCCCATAATGCACCGCTCCGAATGCTGCTGCAAATGTGGCCATGCCAGTGCGCTTGAAGCTGTCAGTGTGGACAGACTGCAGTGCTTTCCCTACTGCGCTCTCCGAAGGCTGGTTTAACTCAAAGCGCTCTACATTTACAAGTGTAGCCATGTCCTAATACAGGATACCCTCTCCGGTTCCATTTCTGGCTGAGTGGTCAGGAGACTGATTCAGGAAAGCAGGTCCTGCCTAGGGATCACTGGATATGGATTAACCGCCCACTCCCTTCTGAAAGTGCTGACAGTCTTTAAAGCTTGGAATCCATGGGTTCTAAAACCCCGGATCTGGTGTGGGCTGGCTGCAGGGCAGGCAGGCTGGAAGCAGTGAATGGCAGGAGAGACAGGCTGTCTCCTCGGGTTGCTGGCAGGCGGTGACAGGCGGATTGTCCCCTCCTGGGGCTTTTCTGCAGGCTGGGGTTACAAGTTAGGCCAGTTGCTGGGCCTGGAAGTGCTGTGCTGGCAGACTGCAGGCAGACCTGCTCTCCCCTCTGCTTCCCAATTGGTCTCTCCCACATGGCGGGAAAGCAAAGCTATTCATAGCCTTCCTCCTGCTTTCCCAGGCCTCCAAGACTCCCAGGGGATTTAAAGGGCCAGGAGCTCCTGGCCACCCTGCTACCGCCCTGGGCCCTTTAAATCACCGCCAGAGCCCTGCTGCCGGAGCCCTGGGGTACATCTGCTGAAGCCACTGCCCTTCATCCTGCCCTTTTTAGCTGTAAGATTCTGCGGTCTGCTTTTGACAGGGGTTAAAAAATGGCAAAGAGGGCGAATCGTAGGAGGTGGGTGGCCAGGGTGTGAGCAGGGGGTGGAAAT